TCCAAGCTGCTGATTTGGAAGCACTTCAAAGAGTTTCATTCTTCAGAGTGGCTGTCTCCACAGCTATTAGAGGGAGTTTTTAATGTTCTTTCATTATGGAACAGCATTTATTATTAAGCCTTTTAAAATAGGGCAACTTTATTTATTCATCTTTTAACTGAAAAAATATAAATGATTTTTCTTTGAGATACCCTGGAATTGACAAAACAGCTAAGGTTTCAGTAATGCTGCAAGAAGAGAAAATCAGCAGAAGAATCCAGGCAGGTTTTCTTTTTTCTTTTTTCTTTTTTTTATGTTTTCTTTCTTCCTCTGTATCCCCCCTGCTCCCCATTCATTCTCAAGACAAATGCAAAGTTCTGCACTGGGCATGCTGTCAAATTCTCTGCTCTAGCATATGGCTCATAGCATCATCTTTCTTGTGCTCTTAAACTTTCCCTCCTGCTACTATCATTTTTCCCTTCCTTCCATGGTCTTTATTATCTGCTTTCTCTCCCTGTCCCAGGCTTATTCATCTCATTACCTCTTCTGAGGTCAGGGAGGATGCTGTTGGTTTAGCATACGCTGTTAAGGGATGTCCATTATCAACACCAGTTGCCTGGCTTGTCGAAAGTCGATTGACATATCTGTTGTCTGTCTGTCATTCTCAGTGAAAGTCCATTCTCTCTATGACTATTTCTCAGTGAAAGTCCCTATTTTCTATGACTTTTGTTTTGTTGGCCTCCCATGGGGTCTTTTGTATGTTTGACTTTATTCAGAAAGTAGGTAGTGTCCTGGGGATGCTTTCTGACAGCTGATTTGAAGCGTAAATTGTAAAGCTGATATAACCTCCAAGCTTAAAACAAACACAAAGAGACAGCACTTCGCACAGTGTAGGCGTGAACTACTTTTACAGCATATTGCGGATGCTAGGAGTTTGTCTAGGTTAAAGAAGTGACAAAATCCAGCAATTTGCAGTTCAGAGATTTCATAAGGCAGCATTGGGGCTTTTGTAGGGTTTTTAGCTCATAGTTGATTGTGATTCCATAATATCTGGACTACAGATTATTTGATTTGGTGAGATTCCTGGAAGCTCTAGCACTCTTCAGTTCACTCTGGTTCTGTACTCTTCCCTAGGCCAGTGTTGGGCACAGGATACCTGACTTTTTGCACTTTGAACCTATTCTGGCACAACTGTGTTTTAACTTTGTGTTTAGAATATCTGTGTTTCATTTTCCTTCCATTTTACCTGCAATTAAATTGTAAGGGTATAGGACTACAGTGATTTCTGGGTCACTTTTTTCAGACCCTTTCCTCATTGGCAACAAATCTTCATTATCCCATTAAAAGCAATTTAGGCTCCCTTTTCAAAGTCATTAGATTGTTCGCTCCATCAGTGCCAAGAGGATGTTTCTGAGCTTCATTTTCCAATGCTTAAAACCATTCTTTAATTTCCAGTCAAAATTATTTATAGCCATTTTATATCCATTTGTTCTTGTGCCAGCTTTGTTCTTTAGTTTAAGTAGCTGATTGCCTTCATTTGTGTTTACTTCTCCCCCAGCCCAATGTGTCCATGGAGAACAACCCAATCACCTCTAAACCACCATTCTGCTAAGGTGGTCAAACTGTGATATTTTAGACTCCTCTCATAAGCTGGTTATCCTTTACCATAATGATTTCTTTAACTCTTTTCTGCACCTGTTCTTTTGGAGTATTGCACACAGCTGTTTAAGTGAAACCCTGTGCAAAGATGTTCCTGCTTTCTATTCGCTACTGGTGGTGGCTTTTCTGAGATCTGATCTTTCCTTCTCATGGTCATGTCAGCTGGCTGGATCATACCTGTCGTCATTCTCTAATGGGCTAGTAATTCAGAGCGTCCTTCTGCTCTTGTTTCCAAATTGTCAGCTCTTGCTCATGAGAGAAGTTCTCATTAAACCCTAAATGCATAACCTTGCACTTGGGCTGTTATATTTCATCCCATTTCTATTACTTTAAGACTCAAAAACATGTTGTTTCTCCCTGCTCTTGGCCATAGCTTCTGAATTCACTCTCTCAGCAGATTTTGTTAGTACACTCTGACTTTTTGTGCCAGGGTCATTAATGAAAGTATGAAATAAGATCAGTCTCAAACCTTATCCTTGAGGACTTCCACATGTAACATCCCTCCAGCCTAGTAATTTCTCTTGTCGATGAACTCCTGTCATCACCTATTTAACCTGTTCCTTACCTACTTTACAATTCTTTAAATAATCCCCATTTTCTGCAGTTTAGTTAATAACATCTAGTGTGGCACCGCATCAAATACTTGAAGTCCAGATAAGTTAGACCTACCACATTTTCCTTGTCTAGAAAAATCAGTTATCCTATCAAAAAAAGGTTTCGGGTCAGTCTGGCTTGATATACTTTTGATGAGTCCATTTTATCCTTTATTTTATCTTCCTTGCATTTTACCCCATGTCTTTAAATTATTCTTTCTTTCAAAATTTTTTCTGAAGCCTTATGTGCTGTTTAAGTCAATCTACTGACTCTGCACTTACTTACAAGTTGCCGTGAGTATGCACTGTAGGACATACAGCACACAGCTTATTGCCTATGCCAAAACCCATGTGATGAATTGCAGTACTTAAAGGGATGAAATGTACTAGTTTGGTTCCACTTTATTTTATTACAGTACTATGTACTGTCATGGACTGAGATGAGGATATGCCTAGCTTGCTAGTCTGGATATGGGAAATCCAGCTAGCCACACTTGCAGGTCTGTGTTATTGCTTCAGAAATAGGTCGCTTATTGTAAATTATTCTGATTCCTCTCAGAGGAGATGCTGGGGTCTGGATAAACATGACCGTTAATCTCTTTTTTTACAGGAGAGGTCTGGATTTTACATCCCACTTTACCATCTGGATTTACTTAGGTTTTTATGACAAACTGGGATCTCTCAGCTTTAGAAGAAAGCAGATACAAACCTGTTCTACCAGGTCACATCACAAGTACAAATAGCTCTTGTACGTCAGCTCAGAGAAGACTAACTTTCCCTCACAGCCCAGAGCAGAGTGAAGGCTGTTGAGGGATGAGCTAGGGCATAGTCAGGAAGAGCTTAGATCTTCTGGGTAACTTTACTGAGGAATTAGGGAGTGGAGACTCTGAGACAATAGCATTATGGGGATCACATTACCCGAGAACCTAGTTTTGGAGGTATGGGGGTCCTTTGGGGATGAGTGGCGTGATTTGGATTGACCACATAGTTTACAGACCTCCAGAAGCACTGGAGAATTCAGATTTCCTGCTTATTTGGCTGATGGGAGACTTGCTGGCAGCATTGACATTCATGACAGTGACATAACTGCAGAAACTCTTTGCAAATGCTCCTAAGCACCCCTTTAGTAACGCCAGGTGCCTCCTGGAATGCCTTGGGTCTCTTAGGAATTGCGGTAGAAACGCTCAAGTCTTCCCCTTGCCCCTCCGGCGCTCTGCCTCGCGATGGGGACGTTGCCTTAGGCCTACAGAGGCCAGCATAAACGTGCTTGTAGTGTCGGTGCCCTTGAAGGGTATGTTCATAGGTTTGAGCTTCAGGAAATGCTATGAAAGGAATTTTTATTGCTTAGAGACTGTTTATTTTGTCCCAAAGTACAAACTAAGGGAAAGGCTGATCAGGGGATGTCACATATCCCTTTTCTGAGCGTGCAGAATGGCTTAAAAATGGCACAGGCTTCATCTAACCAGCTGATACCTGCTGTGTAGGTGGAGGTAGCAGAGCAGCGAGTGCATGATCATGTTTCCACTGGTTAGATTTTAGCTTATCTGCTGGTTTTATGTTATGTATGCATTTGTGGGCCTTTTTACACAGTTTGTGTATAATATTGGTGTTGAACTCTTGACTGATTGATTGGATGGGTTACATTAGAGAAGGCCAGAACACAACATCAGCAAGAAGCAGCATTTCTTATTCTCAGATGCTATTTGAACACAAAATGAACAGTAGCTTGATGACAAAAAATATTTATTTCCTGCTGCAGGAATAATTTTCTCAATATGGAAGTTAATATGATTTTATTTGGGGATTGGTTTATAAAGAGATTACATTGTTAGGAATCCATGGGCATGGAGGGCAGTAAGCCAGGTTAGAACATGTATGTTCTTGTTCCAGCAGAATGTGTCTGGATATGGAAATCTTCTATGTGGCTGGCTTTCTAACATGTGGAGAGGCCATCTGCTTCCAGAGGGTGGGGAGCAGGGATGGCTTCAGTGCAGCTTTCCAAACTGCAAATGTTAGTGACCAGCTTCTATTCAGACCATGCTAAACTGAGTTGAACAGCCTGAGCTGCTTACCGGGCATGAAAAGATGCAGAGGGCCAAGAGAAAAGTCTCTGTGCATCTCTCTCCTCTGCTTATTTCCTCTCTAAGTGGTATGGGGCACAGCTGTAACACCATGAGTCCTGATCTGAGCAGGGACCTTTCTATGCCACTGTAATAAAAGGCATTGACATAACTGGGAGAAAAAAAAAAAGCAAAAGACACTTTATTTTCAATTAAAGCTGGTAGGAGAAAAGATGAGGGAGTGAAGCTTGTTTTGAAAAAATGGAAAACAGTAGAATGGAATTTGACTGGGAATACTGACATGGATGTCCCCCACTTGATGCAGAAATTATCATCTGCTGATGTGGATAGAGGCAAAAGTGTCTGGAACAGGCCTGTGTTAAGTCTCTGGTACAAAGAAATAGCTCTAGGACAGCAGTTTAAAGACTTGCTTCATTACTTTCGATATGTGGGTGTTGCTTTCAGTTTAATGGTCACTACAAATCAGTGTAACATTAAAGCTAGAGGGCTAATGGTCTTTTAGAATAACTGAGTCAGCTGCAGGGACTGGATCCTGTGCTGGTGCAAAACACTGCAGCTCTGTCAAAGTCAATGATAGGCTGTCAGTTTAGACTAGCTGGGGAACCTGGCCCAGGAGACTGTGAAGATGAAGGTTACAAAAATTATCGAGGAAATTGACATTATTTCTCCATCTTTCTTCTTTCCCCAGGGCAGCCATTGAGGCTCTGGCAGCTTTGCTGAAATCAAGTAAGCTTTTCTTCTTTATATTCCCTTCTATGCTGTGCTGCTGGACAGAATGATCCCGTTGGACCTCACTCCCCATTTGTTCCTTCTTCACCTTAAACCCCAAAGAGAGCTCTGCTTAGAAAAGACAGCCAATAATGCAGTAGTTCCTGTACATCTACTGTGCTTCTTGGAAAGACGCCTGATCTACAGACAAGCAGCAGGGAGGTGATGCCCTAGGTTCCAGGGAACTCGCTGCAAGTCTGCGAGATGAGGGGGGTTTCTGTGTATTCAGGGATCAGGGTTTGCCCTGGGGCTCAGTGCAGTGGAAGAGATGCAGACCCTATCCAGCCAGCTGCCACGGTCCCTGCAGTGTGGGGACAGGACCTCTCTGGCCTGTGGACCCTGGTGGTGGGGTGCTGTGTGCTCCCCTGGGAACCGTGCTGCTGCTGGGACAGACTGGGGAAACCTCTGTGGTCAGAAAGACGTGGCCTTATTCCCCTCTGGCAGCTTCTCAGGCTGATGACACACAGCTCTAAAGGCAGCGCTGGGGCCTGGGCATTGCTTGGATACAGCCAGACTGTCCAGTTGGGCTTCACCTTGCACCAGTGCATGGGGCTGTTGGAGATCTTAACGTGGATGCCCTGTCACACACTGCTGGTGTGACTGGCCCTGAGGTGAACATGTTACCCTTTTTTGCCTTTATCCCATCCAAAAACACTTAGCTTCTTATTACTAGAATTTAATAAAGCTTTGATCAAGAAAGAGCACTCTACTATTGCAGACAATCTACTCCATAATAAATCACGATGGTGTATTGTCCTTCTCTCCCTCCTTTTCTTCCCCTCCCCTTCTCCTTTTCATAGCATTAGGAATAAATGTATTTGTGAAAAATTGTAGTCCTGGAAGCAGTGCTTAAATGAGCATACTGCAATGGGATTGTGTCTGGGCTGCACCAGCTCAAGTGATGAATTCTGAAATAATTCTCCTGTATTAACCTTGCTGCCTAAATTTAAAGGTCACATTATTGCAACAAGGGAGCACCTTCTGTTTCAGACTCTAAATCCTAATAAGGGAGTGGTGGGTGCAGGAGAGAGGAGATCTGCTGGAGCCGCTTGCAATACAAAAGCAAAATTAGCATTTAAAATAGTAAGGCTTTCACAGAGAAGCATGGAAAAGTGGAGCAGGAGCTGAAAGCTCAGTGGAGCAGCTTATACCTTTCTCTCATACTGCTGCTTTATGGTAAGTACCAGGAAGTGAACTTCTGCTGTCCCAAGATATTTATGGGATCATTTTCTATTTCAAAGCTTTTTTTTCCTGAGCTTAGCACTGAAGATAGTGTATTGACATGAAGAACTAATTACCAAGGGAGGCTGTGAAACAATCTCTTGGGAATTTCTAAACCCATGTTGTAAAAGTCTGTGGAAAAGAGCCGCCCTTTCATTAACTGTGGATGATCTAGGGGATCTAAAGGGATCAGACCAGCTCCAAATTCTCCCACTCCTTTTTCCTCTGGAGTGAAGGAAATTTTAAAGCCATTTGCTGTTATATGAATTTCAGTTTGTTGTGTGACTCTTTCAGCCCACTTGGGCTGTGGAACCACCCATCTTAGTTGTTTCTTCCTCTTTTTTTGTTTCTTTTACTTGATGAAGAAACACATTGTGGTTGTTAATGTCAGGTGCTTTCACAGAAGGTACAAAAATGAGCTCTAATGAGGATTTTGTCTACTGAACAAAATGATCCATATAGCTACTCTTTGGTTGATCACTCTGAGGTGCAGATTAGGGTAACTCTGAGGTGCAGATTAGGGTAGCTGACAATAATCATTGGTCCTCTTGGTCCTCTTGACCACTGCAAAGAGACTTTGCTTAGGAGAGATCTTTCTTCATTTGGAGACTTCCTTCCCAATTTTCTGTTATATGTACTATTTCCTTTACCATTTATTAACTGCAGAACATTGATGTGGCAGCATCAGCTGTTGTCTTCATGGAAAAGCAGCTTTAGGAAATCACATCATGTCCTGTCAACTGATGTTCTCCTAAGTGGAACTGGGATTGAGAAAATGGTGCCACTTTTCCGCCAAACAGCACTCTAGCTCACTAGCACCCAACTTGTACTCAGTTTTCTGAGGTTTTCTGCAGTCTGATGCTCAGTGGTCAGGAATTTTTGCTAGTTTTGTCCTTGTCTTGTGGCTTGGGACATGTGACTCTTCAGGCATTAACCTGGAGTGTCCTCTGGTAGTTGCATACAAACAAGGAAGCTGTGCCTTTTGGGAGGTTTGTGTTAGGACATGCAGAAAATACGGTTCTTCTGGAGATAAATTTTTCATGGCTGGGAAAGAGCTGAATTGTTTTTCATGAGTGTGTCAGGGGTGCTTGGCTTGTCACTGTAAGCCTACTTATCCCCATGGCCTCAGCACCTTGGGGTAGTTCAGGGGTTCACAGAAAAGCAGGACTTGAAATTTACTTGTGAAAAGAAATGGTAAAACTCTACATGGCAAAGTATCCAGAAGCCCTTTAGTATGAAATATAAACTGTTCTGGAGTTTAGAATCCCTCTATTTCTATCATACTGAATTACTGGGCTGATTTTTGTGAGCTTTGCTGGAATTTTGCAATAATCCACTTGCTGGGTGATGCTGAAGAAATTATCTTTTGCTGGGGGCAAGGTGTTTGAAAAACAGGGCAGGAAAGCACCCACTTTTGAGGGACTCCCTGCCAGGCTGACACATCCTTAACAGCCTCAACCTGAGCAACCGTGCGGGTTGGGGTTACATGTGAAGGTTCTCATATGGAAAGTTTCTTTCTTGTGGCAGGGAATTTGAATGGGAAAGCACACAGTAGTTTTAAAGGGAGAAGAGAGATGGCAGTGTGTATCCCTGATGGTCTCAGGACCACCATCTTCAACTCCTCCACGTTCCTTCAGCCCACCCTGAGACTCTGTCCACCTGCAGAGCAAAGGCTGGCTGGAAGCTTCACATTTTGGCCTTGTCTCTTACCAAGCAGAATGCCCACTGATGCAAAATGCCCACTTAGCAGGGGAGTAACACTGCAAAAGTCAAAATCTGCCTGGAAAGAAAGCATCAGTATAAGAAAAAAATAGCGCTCCAGGTGTGCCTAGAAAATTGTCTCTCCTGGAGAAGATAGGGGGAAGATAATCTTTCATAGGGGAAGGTAGAAGATTTGACAAAGAAGTGAGTGATGGGACGCTACAAACCTGTGCTTCATCCACAATAAGAAAGAAAAGTTTGGAAACTTAGAACAGGACAAGAGAGCCCTTAGTGGTCTTATTCCTCGATGCAGGAAAGGAAATCTATAAAGATGGAGATGATGAATAAAGGAGGAACAGAAATTTAGGTCACTTTTGATGGCAGCACTGCAAATTGCTGTGGGTGGAAGCTTGGATACTAGTAGAAATAAGATATTTTTTACCTGTCATTCAGCTCGTTGCTCAATGCTGACTTCTTTTCCAGCAACCCAGAGCACCTTCTCAATCCTTGCGGGACCTCATGAGGGTCCTTCTCCTGATCGCTCTTGCTGCCGTTTTCCACCTGCCATGCCCAGAGGCAGGGAGCCAGCAGCTTGTTACAAATCCTCCCTCTCTTGCCTTGCGGCTTTTCTATGGTGTCTCTCCACTATGCTGTCAACTCTGTGTAGCAGAGCTACATCATTTTACAGGCTGAATATGTTGCTTATTAAATACCTGTAATGAAGCTGAAACGTTATGGCAGCACCAAGTCTTTTCTCTTGGATGTTACGGTGGAGCTTTGTGTTTTACAGATGGCTGTAGAACAACCGAGGTGTGTGGAGGCAAAGCATCCTTCCCAGTGCCCCCTCTCAGCCCCAGAGTGCCCCTGCTACTCTGGCCGGCCTCCTGTGACTTGGTCCTTTACTAACCTGCTTTTGTATCTTGCTCCTGTGACCAGTTGGGAGCCCAGGTGAAAGCAAGGCAAAGCCAGCGCGGCACCTCACACAGCTCCCTTGTGCTCAACTCGCCCTTCGGAATAAAACCAACCAGCTGTTTTTAAGTTTTTATGGGGTGGAAGGAAAACTGCCTGATAAATAAGCGTGGCCAACTGTCTCTTGGGGTTCGTGGGCGGAAGGCGGCTGTGATCCCGAGCCGGCCGGGCCCCCGGCAGCCACACGGTGGCGATGTGATTATAGGGATCCCTGCTCTCACCAGGGCTTAATCCAGTATTTATTTTTGGTGAGTAATTTGTTTATCACAGGTTATTTTCATCTAATTTTGGTCGTATTTGTTATTCCTGACTATCTGGACTTCCCAGAATTAGCAGCTTGCATGCCTTTAAGGAAATTAGCTAGACATGATTTTTTAGGCGTTTACTCAGCAGATATTGAAGGAAAGGGTTAGGGAAACAGGCAGAACCCGTGTTGCAGTGCTTTCCTAGTAAAATTGTAATGAGCAATTTAAAGAAACAGCTTGTGGTGACCCCCTTTTTTTATCAAAACAATTCCGTGAGCTAGCAGCAGTTATTGCCGATGACCTTTCCCCTCTGCTTATGTACCTTTTCCTCCCTCCTTTTGTCTTCCTTACCCTCTTATATTCCCTTTTTTCCCTCCTAGCCTTTTATCTCTCATTTCCTGCTCTTTCCTCCTCATCTTCCATCAACTAACCTTTATTAGAGAAAAGCAGGTCTTTTTTTTTTTTTTTTTTTTCTCCATCAGAGCATAAGGATTATGTCTTGCAGCTGGGAGGATAAAATAACCAGTATCATTCTTTTCTTTTTATGCTGGCGTCAAGAAGAGCAAGCGACTCCACAGAAAGGGGTGTTTTAGCACACAGACACATTCCTTTTCTGAAAGGCTGCCCTGCACCGTCTGTGTTAGAATCTGTATTTGTGTTTAGGTAGCCCTGTGGTTAAACCTGTCCAGCCAGCAGCAGTGTCTGTGATTTGTCTAATATTCTATCAAGTGCCTTTTTTTTTTCACAAGACTTCATTTCTGATCTCTGGGTGCATACTTGAGTGCTTCTTTAGTCTGACCTGTCATCATAATTTGTAGGATA